TGGCATCAAGAAACTGCCTATAGAGTTCTAGAGAACCAGAAGGTTCTGCTTGATTCAAGAGATTGGTGTAATGTTGAACAGCAAGTCAATGATTTTTCCCTGATCATTAATAAGCAGATTAATCTGTTGTTGTCTTCTTCTATTCTTAACCAGATTGTGAAAAAATTTGGTATTAGCATCACCATCTTGAAGCCATTTAAGATTACACTTCTGTTTCCAAAAAGCATATTCCCTATTGGTCATCTCTACAAGCTAAGCCATCTTCTAGTTATAAAGAGTTTTATTTTCAGAAGAGGGATTCTCTTTAAAAAGAATCTCAGCATTGGATGCCTCCTCCTCTGCCTCTTTGACCATCTCAAAAATATTGCCAAATTGATCCTTGTTCCAAGCTGAGAGTTTGGCTTTGAGATGATGAAGTTTTTTGAACAGACAAGTATATAAAATATACTTTAAAATAGTTTTGTCAAAATAATTATTTTCATAATTAAAATTACACTCCAAAATAAAATCTACACAATATAATATATAATGTAATAAATATATACATATATGTACACGATAATAATAATACATATTTATACACGTACTTAATATATATATATATAAGTATGTCATGTGCAAAGTATACATATATATAAATATATGTGGCGTGTACAATGTATATATATACATATATATTATATTATACATTTTACTTTACTATTTTACAATATACAAATTAAATATTATCCCTTCTTATAATCCTACTCTTTAAATTGTCCAAAGTGTGTGACCCGTATAGGCACTATTAAAACTTGCCACAGTATTGACTCTACACCAATACTATAAGTAATAAGCGGTATCTAGCAACACATTATTACCCCCAGATTATAAGTTCAGACGTTTGCTCCGTCAAAACCTTTCTACGACTAAGACTTTGTATAACGTAGTTCCTTTTGTCCCAATATCTTAACTTAGTGCAAGGGATATAAAATATCCAACTTGTAGCCATTAAGTTATTTACTGACTAACAAGTCTGACTGATGAGAACAGATGTCTAAACTCATCTTAGCATGGCCATGCATTTCTTCAGTCATACTGATCAGTGGACCCCTACAAGACATTATTCTGCTTGAGTAGCAGTGACAAATTCTTTGTACGTAATCTACGTCTTCGAATACGTGCAGCGGCATGCCCAATACAAAGCCTGTGTACCATCCTTATTTCATACGGCTTAGGACAATGAATCAAAGCATGCGGGTTCACACATTCGAAGAACGTAATACTTTAAGCCTGAGGATCGTTATACTTATAGTCGCATTAAGGACACTTAGAGCATAGACTAAAAGTCTAGGCAATGTCCTTAAGGTGGGTCAGGTCTGGCATCCTATTATTAATGATAATATCTGCCCGAGAGTAGATGCGAACACTCCGTCATTGACCAAGAGACTAGGTCAAACATCTAACTCTCACTAGTCTCACGCGCACTAACGATATCCCGCTCTCGTTAATGCTTCGACTATAGACCGTTTAGATTTATACTAAGTGACAAGATGTCAGTCTCAACATCAGAAGACTCATTCTGATAAACATCTTATAATATAATTCTAGGAATGCAATTAAGAGTTTACATTAGCATGAGATGTTTGTAAATTATTGCATGTGCCTTTACATGATAGAAAATATCTAAGATATTACAACAGCAGTTGGCCATAAGGGCACCAACTCCAACAATCTCCCACTTGCACTATGGCCAATCTGGCATCAGTCTAATGCCCATTGACCTAGGGTGACCCTCATGCTTTAGCTTTCCCAAGGGCTTGGTCATGGGGTCAGCTACGTTGTCGTCTGTTCCTACTTTGCAAATCTCCACATCACCTCTGTCTACGATTTCTCTTATGATGTGATAACGTCGTACAATGTGCTTGGTCTTTTGGTGAGATCGTGCTTCCTTTGCCTGTGCAATGGCCCCAGTGTTGTCGTAGAACAACGGGATTGGGTCATTAATGCTAGGAACCACTCCAAGTTCAGAAATGAACTTCTTTATCCAAACACCTTCCTTTGCTGCTTCAGCAGCAGCCATGTACTCAGCCTCTGTAGTTGAATCGGCGGTCGTGTCCTGTTTATAACTCTTCCAGCTAAAAGCTCCGCCATTCAGGCAAAACACATACCATGCTTGTGACTTGTAATCGTCTCGATTGGTTTGGAAGCTTGCTTCAGTGTAATCGATCACTTTCAGCTCTTCCTCACCTCCATATACCAGGAATGCATCCTTAGTATTCCGAAGATACTTTAAGTTGTTCTTGACCACAGTCCAGTGTGCTTCACCTGGATTCCCCTGGTATCTGCTGGTCTCGCTTAAAGCGAATGAGACGTCAGGTCTAGTACATATCATGGCATACATGATGGAACCAATTGCAGAAGCATATGGGACCTTCATCATGAGTTCCTTCTGCTCAGGAGTAGAAGGACTTTGGCTCTTGGAAAGAGCCGTGCGAGGTAACATAGGTAAGGATCCCTTTTTCGAGTTAGACATGCTAAATCGATCAAGGACCTTATCTATATATGTACTTTGACATAGACCTATCAACTTTCTTGACCTATCATGGTAGATTCTTATGCCAAGGGCATAACTAGCATTCCCCAAGTCCTTCATGGCGATGTTCTCGCTCAACCAAGTCTTTATAGATGTAGAGCAGGAACATCGTTACCCATTAACAATATGTCATCGACATATAGGATTAGGAATACTATCACACTCCCACTAACCTTCTTGTACACACAAGACTCGTCAGAATTCTTCTCGAAACCAAAACTAGTGATGGTTTCATCAAAGCGTATATACCAACTCCGAGATGCTTGTTTCAATCCATATATTGACCGTTGCAGCTTACAGACTTTGGCAGATTCACCAGCAATTATGAAACCGTCAGGCCGTGTCATATAGACATCCTCTTAGAGGTTCCCGTTAAGGAAAGCCATTTTGACGTCCATCTGCCAAATCTCGTAATCGTAGAATGCTGCAATCGCAAGCATTATCCGAATGGACTTCAGCATCACAACTGGAGAAAAGGTTTCGTAATAATCAATTCCGTGGATTTGTCTATAACCTTTTGCTACCAATCTAGCTCTGAAGGTATGAACCTTCCCGTCTACTGTTAGAATAAGTGCCCTTCACTAGAGGGCGGGTGAATAGTGAGGCACGAGAATGTTTATAAATTTTTTACGGAATAAAAATCGCAGGGATAAAGTAAAGAGCGGAATAAAAAGGAGTAAAGGGAGCACAGGTTCTAAATGGGACCAAGTGGTGTTGAACACCGATTAGGTCGGAGGGCTCTCTGAGAGAGCTCGATGTGATGAAGGCAATTCGAATGCCCACGAATTGTTTGGCAATGTTGGACTCTTGAGCTCAGGGTGCTCGGAGAATACACTTGCTCGGAGATACCGCACTCCAAGACTTCAACCCGAAGGAAAATACCTTTCCTGCGTACAACCAAGGGAAACAAGCTTCCCTAAACGTGTTTACAACACTTAGAAAACTCAAGAACAAGACTCTCTTTAAGAGTAGATGTTGAGTAAACTATATACGCTCAAGAACAACTCAAACTTCACAAATTGGCTCTAGAAAGCTATGAAAAATAATGTTGTTTGGATGCAATGATAATATGAATAAAGTGAAGTTAATTTGCTGTGTAAAGCAGACCCAAACACCCCTTTTTATAGTGCCAAAAAAGGCTCCAACGGACCAATACATTAAAGGGGTGATTGGCTTGATTTATGGGATTGAATAAATTTGGGATCTGCAGGATATTGGCTTCCCATCGATGTTTAGACTCACCCATCACTGGTAAGCCAAATTTCCTTCAGTTTTGAAGCTAACGGTCACCAACCCATCGATGGGTAGATGCTTCCCATCGCTGGGTGGGTGGGAGGTTGACTTTCAAATAAGGAAAGAATCAGCCTTAAATAACTCGCAACGGTCATGCCTTCCCATCAATGGTTAAGCCTTCCCATCGCTGGGTTCCCATCGATGGGTAAAGCTTCCCATCGCTGGGTAAGGGTATTGTGCCTTGTGATAATATTGGACCAAGGCTTGAACAGCGATGGGTAGAGCTTCCCATCGCTGTTTGGCATGGTTCTGGAAGTTGGTTTGGCTAAGAGGCTACTTACCCATCGATGGGATGTTCTTCCCATCGCTGGGTGGGTGGTTAGCCAAAAACCTATGGTTTTTGCCTTAACCACGGCCTAGCCAACCGATGCAAAAACCGACCGAAAAATCCAAAGTTCTCCAAAATAAAAACCAAGTGTTTAAAACGCTTATTTGATGTATTTGGCTAAGAAATCAAGTGAGACACTTTAAAAATCACGTCATTTGGGTAAAAACCACGGCTAGCCAAGTTTACGCCGTTTTGCGTGGTTTTTGTCAAACGACTAAAAGCGAGAGATGGTTTTCAAGGTGTTTTTTTGGGAGAACCGTTTAAACATTCCAAAGAGTGAAAGCAGATCATAAAATGCTGAAAACCACTTGGTTGGTTCGGATGCCAAAAACCAAACCCGACAACCGAAAGCCGAACGCTGGTTTCTGAAAGCCGAACACTGGATGGCTTGGTTTTTGGTTTGGGCGAACACCAAGCATTTTTTAATGACTTAAACAAGTTTAAAACCATTTTTATGATGTATGAAATGCAATGAGAGTTTTTAGCCTAAAGAGCCAAAGTGTAAAGATTGGGTCGGTCTTGATCACAATAAAGACCGACTCAATACTATGATTAAGGTCTTCGTTTAGCTCTTGCTCTTATCTTCATTCTTCGCCTTGTATATTCAATGTTTGACTTGATCACGGCGGTTTGGCATTATCAAAACCTGTTACAGAAACGAACACGGCTTTAGTACGAAAACGTGACAAGCCTGTGTTTCAACAATTTCCCCCTTTTTGATAATGGCAAACGAGACGAGGTTATGCATAGGAGGATTATTTTGAAAAGGATGTTCCCCCTTAATAGATGCTATTTTACAAAAAAGAATTCCCCCTTAGTTTATGCATAACCTTAATATCTTCCCCCTTTTGACATTAACAAAAAGAATTAAAAGTAAACTTTAGAATTGTAAAAGTAAACTTTTATTCATGAAAAGGGGAATGCGGAATACAATGGAATGGAAGAAAAAAATAAGAAATACAATCATAGGAAGAAGAGAAAAGAGAAGTCTAAGCATCGGCGTCCTCGTCGTCATCCTCGTCGTCCTCGACGTCCATGGGATCACCGTCGACCGCATCTTTGAAGTCGGCCTCGTCGGGGGAGGAGGATGGAGCTTAGGAGTTATCCTCCTCGTCCTCGCCTTCATAGTTTTGGCCGAGGAAGGTGCTGTCAAAAGGCGGTGGGACGTAGTTGATGCCGCGGAAGAACGCCGTCATGTCGTGGTGTTGGCGTTGCAGCGTCCAGTCCATCCGCTCGATTGACTGCCCCATGCCATCCACTGTGAGGGTTAGCCGGTTCAGAGTATCGGCTATGGATTGCAAAGAGGCCTTGGCGGGAGCGGGGGCTGGTGCACGACTCCGGCCTGCGTCGTCCTGGTCTCCGGACTTCTTCCGGAAGGTGCTGTCTTGAATTATCCAAATCTTTGTCATCTTCGTATCCAGGCCGGCGATGGAGATGTCGGCGGAGATGATGAGGTCCATGACGAGGAAGGCGTATGGCAAGCTCCGCTCACTGGCGATGGAGGCGCAATCCGCCGTGTGGATCATCACGAATTTCGCCCAATTGATGGAGGCGCCATGGATGATGGCATGAATCGCCTTCAAGTCCTCGTTGAAGAGCGAGGTATGGCTGCTGTCCCGGGGGCGGAGAATCCGGGTGATGATGTAGAGGAGGAGGCGCTTGTCCGGTGGGGCTGAGTGAATCGTCGGTGCGCCACTGTGGCGGATCAAGTTGGTGATCCCAAGCTCACGAATGACGACCGCCTCGTTGTTGAGGATCCAATCGTCGCCACCATAGGTTGCGATGTCGTCACCGCGGATGGGCAGCCCTGCGACCCGAGCGAAGGTAGGCAAATCAATCTCTATGTCGTAGAGATTGATGCTGCTGCGAATGGTGTCCCCGTCACGGCGGAGATTGCAGTAGAAAGCCCGGACGAAGGCGGGATTGAAGCTCGAGCGGCTCTTGGAGACGAATGGCCACAAACCTGACGCTTGGAGTTGGTTGTCGAGGTTGTGGTACCCTTTGTCTTGGGGAAACAACTCCGGGAGCACGCGAGGTGGAGAGATCGGGCGCTTAACAAAGTGAGTGAGGAAGCATGTTAGTTCTTCCTCCGACCCGAACTCAAGAAATGATCCGTCCAAATATGGGAACGGAAGAGGCGCGGAACTTGAGGGTTCGGCGGTGCTTTTCTTCTTGGAAGCCTTAGACTTTGATCTTCCTCTGGCCATGATTAAGGCGTTTTTGAAGAAAGACTGAAGAAATATTGAGATTTGGATCAAGGAATGAAATTATGATGTTAATGGTGTATTAGAATGATCAAATATGAGGGATATATATAGGGAATGGGAGATTAGGCCGTTTGGATTCAAAAATATAGCTGTTGGGCAATTAATGTGGTGCCCAACGGCTCTGAATTTTTGAAATGCAGGTGCCTTCCCAGCGATGGTAGAATCTACCCATCGATGGGAAGGTCGCCACTGGAAAGCGAGGAAGAACCCAAGGCTGCCTTCCCAGCGATGTTCGGATTTTCCCATCGATGGGAAGGTGGCTTCTGGAAATAGACGAAGAAAAGAACATGGCCTTCCCAGCGATGTTAATACCATCCCATCGCTGGTTTGATAGTTTTGAAAAACCGTTAAAAAATTTAAAAAAAATATAGTGTCAAACACCCAGCGATGGGAGGAACTTCCCAATGATGGGTTGGGAGGTTCTGAAACAAAAGCAAGCACTCACCCAGCGATGGGATAAACTACCCATCGATGGGTAAAGGTGTTCTGGAAATCTGTTAACCATTTTTTTTTATAAAAAAAAGAGTCAATAACCCATCGATGGGAGGAATTTCCTATCGATGGGAAGAGGGGTTTTGAAAGCAAGAAGCTTCCCTCCCAGCGATGGTATAACGCACCCATCGCTGGTTCCCCCTGATTTCCAGAAATCTTCACCTCGAACCGTCCCTGCAAAAAAGAATAACACTTTGGTACCCAAAGTATGTCTATGGGTCCTTGGGGGTTAGTTGACCTTTATTGCTCACACACACACCCAAAATTCATACACACACACACACAATTAAATGATTGTTTAGGAGTTCCCTTGGCCAACCCATTGTCTAGTGGTTGGCGGGTTCCAGTCTACCCGAACGGAGTGCTGATATCTCGGTGTGGTCTGTGTTGGTTCCGGTAACGGAATGTGGACTTTCTTCTTTACGTCAAAGTAGAAGAAAAAATACGGTTTCTTTTGTGCACTATCCTGTGGAGATTGTTTTTGATTCGAATATCCTTTTCCAAAGGATTTCTTTTCGTCAGCACTAAATATGGTGTGTGTTTCATTAAAGGTCAAGTGCCTATGTCTAGTGAAACACACAGGAGCTATATGTCCTACCCTATTGCAATAATGGCATACTACATTTGGGTTGAACATATGCCTAGGTTGGTAATAGCTAGGGGGTCTAACCATTTTCATCCTATTTTGAGAAAATATTGGTTTTTGGGTATTTTGAAGATTCTCTCTTCTAGATGTTCTAGCATTATTTTGTCTATTTGAAAAATTATTTGTGTCCATAAAATCATTTTGATAATTCCTCCTAGGTTGCCTAGAGTGCTCGTGTTCATCACTAACCTTTTGTCTAGGTTGTCTATTATTTTTATTTTTATCTTTCTTAGGTTGAGCTCTAGGTGGTTTACGGTTGTGCTCAACTTTTTCTTTATTTTTAGGTTCATCAATCTTCCCAAAACCTATTCCTTGTTTAGTGTATTCCATAGAATCAAAAACGAGATTAAGATCCTTATGTGGTTTATTAAATTTCTTTACCGCGTTTTCTAGTTCAGTAACTTGTTCTATCAAAGCTCTGCAAGAGTCACAATGTTTCGTAGAGCTCTCGGGTTTGTTGGCGCTTCTTTTACCATAAAATTTATTTTCCTCTTTTAGTTTTTCGTTTTCCTTTTGAAGTTTTTCAATTTCAGTTTCAAGATTAGAAAAACGTTTCTTTAAAGCTTTGTTGGTTTTAGAAGCGCTAACAAACTCGTCATAAAGCTCTTGGAGAGCTTCTTGCATTTCTTCAAGAGAATAAGAACCGGTAGAAGAAATACTTACCTCTTGGTTTTCGTTGTTGGCGGTGAGGAGAAGAAGAACTCGATACTCTGTTTCCAAACGAAGGAGCAGAAGGAGAACAAGCGAACTGAGTAGCGGCCTCAGCGGTGGGGTTCTGATGTATGCTCTTTGCTTTTTGAAGTGACGAGCATTCCTTCCGCTTCTTGGGCATTTATTCTTGATGTGCCCGGCTTCACCACATCCATAGCACACAGGGCCATCCTCGACCTTCTCTTTCTTTAGAAGTTTGCAAAACTTCTTCATGATTAGCTTGACTTCATCTTCGTCGCTTGAGTCATTCATTGTCGGTTCTTTGGAGGCTTTTAATGCTATGCCTTTTCTCTGGTCATTCAAAGATGGGTTAAGTATAGTAGATTCATAAGTTTTTAAATTACCTTTTAAACCGTCGATGGTGACAGTTGATGTGCCGATTGACTCATAGATAGCATCGGCCTTGGATCGCCATTCGGATGTCAAGCTCCGTAGGATCTTTCGCACAAGATCCCTGTCGGTGTAAGTCTTCTTTAATGCATGAAGATCGTTGACTATCTTGGAAAAATGGTCGAACATATCATCGATATTCTCGTGCTCCTTCATCCTGAACATCTCATATTCTTGGGTGAGGAAGTCAATCTTGGCTTCACGTACTTGGTCCGTTCCTTCGTACGTCACCTCAAGTTTATCCCACATCTCTTTGGCGGTTGAGCAGCAAGAGATCTTGCGGTAGTCATCAGGATTTACGGCACAATTATTTTAAAATAGTTTTTGTCAAAACAATTATTTTCATAATTAAAATTACACTCCAAAATAAAATGTACACAATATAATATATAATGTAATAAATATATACCTATATGTACACGATAGTAATAATACATATTTATACACGTACTTAATATATATATATATATATATATATAAGTATGTCATGTGCAAAGTATACATATATATAAATATATGTGGCGTGTACAATGTATATATATACATATATATTATATTATACATTTTACTTTAGTATTTTACAATATACAAATTAAATATTATCCCTTCTTATAATCCTACTCTTTAAATTGTCCAAAGTGTGTGACCCGTATAGGCACTATTAAAACTGGCCACAGTATTGACTCTACACCAATACTATAAGTAATAAGCGGTATCTAGGAACACATTATTACCCCCAGATTATAAGTTCAGACGTTTGCTCCGTCAAAACCTTTCTACGACTAAGACTTTGTATAACGTAGTTCCTTTTGTCCCAATATCTTAACTTAGTGCAAGGGATATAAAATATCCAACTTGTAGCCATTAAGTTATTTACTGATTAACAAGTCTGACTGATGAGAACAGATGTCTAAACTCATCTTAGCATGGCCATGCATTTCTTCAGTCATACTGATCAGTGGACCCCTACAAGACATTATTCTGTTTGAGTAGCAGTGACAAATTCTTTGTACGTAATCTACGTCTTCGAATACGTGCAGCGGCATGCCCAATACAAAGCCTGTGTACCATCCTTATTTCATACGGCTTAGGACAATGAATCAAAGCATGCGGGTTCACACATTCGAAGAACGTAATACTTTAAGCCTGAGGATCGTTATACCTATAGTCGCATTAAGGACACTTATAGCATAGACTAAAAGTCTAGGCAATGTCCTTAAGGTGGGTCAGGTCTGGCATCCTATTATTAATGATAATATCTGCCCGAGAGTAGATGCGAACACTCCGTCATTGACCAAGAGACTAGGTCAAACATCTAACTCTCGCTAGTCTCACGCGCACTAACGATATCCCGCTCTCGTTAATGCTTCGACTATAGACCGTTTAGATTTATACTAAGTGACAAGATGTCAGTCTCAACATCAAAAGACTCATTCTGATAAACATCTTATAATATAATTCTAGGAATGCAATTAAGAGTTTACATTAGCATGAGATGTTTGTAAACTTCATGCATCTGCTTTTACATGATAGAAAATATCTAATATATTACAACAGCAGTTGGCCATAAGGGCACCAACTCCAACACAGGTAACGTAGCCCCTTTATGATGAAGAAGGTCTGAAATGGAATTGAAGTCCCCACCAAGGCACCATGGAAGATGTGAATTAGTATTAAATGATTCAATAAGATCCCAAAGTAATTTCCTTTCAGCAGTTGTATGACTCCCATAGATGGAACTAATGATGAAGGTGAAATTATTAAGAGTATCTCTCACTGTGAAATGAGCAATCTGACCAAGGTCTTTCACATCAACAACATCAAATTTGGCTTGGTCCCAAAGGAACCAAATTTTATTGTTTGCAACAGAATAAAAATCATTAAAACCATGCTTAAAAGCCAGGTTCTTACCGTTCTTAGCGATAACAAAAGGCTCAATAAGAATACAAAAATCAATAGAATGGTGCTTATTAAATAGGAGAGTCTCTTGCATATCTTAGAGATTCCCCTCACATTCCAGAAGAGAGTGCAGATCATTTCAGGGCTTGGAAAACCCCATCAACAGACCTTTTATAGTCTGAATGTGTCCTAATCCTCTTTGGTGAAGGAGGAGCAAAAGAGGAAGTTTTTATAACAGGGATGTCCACTTGGAGATCACAAATAGGTAAATCAGTGATCAGTTGCTCCATATATGGAACTGAAGGAGAATCTGAAACCAAAACTTCATTGGCCAAGCCAAGTGAGATATTTTTAAAAGGGGTAGGCTCAACCGTAGGACTAGGCTCACATGAAGAATATGCAAGGCCATTATTATCAAGAAATAGCACTTCGTGTGACCCAATGAAATGAATCTGGGGCCTACAGCACCTGCTTTAGAAGTTTCCTCCTGACATGGCATGCATGGAGAAGGAGCCTGCGACGTAGTGGACTTTTGGACCCACGTAACCTTCGGTTTTGATGAATTTTTATTACCCTTACGTTGAACAGTGGTCCAAGCATCCAATCTCTCCTTGCCCTTATCCTTCATGGGAGGAATGGACTCCGCTACCGGCAACTTTTCCGGCAGCTTTTCTGGTAAACATGAAAGGGAAGAATGACCCAACCTATGACAAGAAGAGCAAAAAGATAGAGGATCTTCATAAATAACCTGAAAGAAAAGGTCTTCCTTAACATGCTTAACATGTATACGCTAATGGAGTGTCTGGGAAATGTCCACTTCAATGCAAACCCTAGCCGCTTTAGGTCTAGCAAAGTTAAGGGTGGCATTATCAACTTTCAAGGGTTTACCCAACGCGGAGGTAATACAGAAAAGGGCCTTCTAGTCATGCAGATGAATAGGAAGGTTAGGAATAGTAATCCAGACAGGAACAATCGGGGAGTCCTCCTCCGGACGTAAATTTGAAGACCATTTAGTCACTGTCATGATGTCCCTTCCAAGCGTCCAAGTTATCTGGAGGAAGAAACGTTGATAATCTTTATCTTGCTCAAAGTTAATAAGAACAGCGTTAGAGTTGAGCTCTCCAACCGTAAAGCCTCCAACGAGCCCTAGTCGGGTAAGAAAGTTCCTCACAACTGAATGTGGAGTGCCGTTTCTTCTCGCGAATATGTTATAGGGGTTGTGGAGAGTCGGCACGCATTCGACGAATAGCGGATTGGACGAAACGGAATGAGAATGATGGCGGAAGTTGCAACCCTCACGTTTTCCGTCGCTGCTGGACCAGTTTCGGTAAAACGGCCGTATCGACTCCGTTACTCATCCGATTGACAAATTGTTTGCGGCTGTGGTTCACCGACTCGCAGGGCTACAACTTTGGTTAAGAAACCATGACCAAAAAGTGAGTTTAAGATGGTCGAAATTCTGCCCAAAGTGGACTCACGGGATTTTGCTTCCAAAAGTCAGCACCTCCTCCTTCTTCTTCTCGTCCTTCTCCTTCTTTCTCTTCTTCGGAGCTCCGTCGTCTCCTGGGATTCTACTGGCCGGCGTCCATAAGGAAAATGGAGAGTGAGGGAGTTGGATGGTTGGTGGGTTACAAAATAATGGAGGAATGGAAGGAGAGGAGTGGGTTTATAATGATGGGGAGTAATGGTGGAGAGGTGGAGAATTAAAAAGGTGAATGAATGTGGGGAGATGGGAGGGGAAGTGGCGTGAGGTTTAATTAGGGAGTTACCTCCCTAGATTCCACTCCGTTGTGTAAAGTCCAACCTGAACGGTATGCGGTTTTCCCCCATACTTGCCCGAATTGAAAACCGACTGCGTTTTCGGAAATAAACAGTCAAAACTAAATTTATGATATCTTCAAAATATTTTTCTCACAACTTTATTTTTAAACTTCCGGATCCATCCCAATCATTAATTAATTTATTTAATTAATTAATGTTGAGAGGTCCGTTATTAAAATACATTAACTTTGGAAGTCCATTTAATGATATCGAAATTTCAATAGTTATTATTTAAAATAATGAGTCTCAATAAATAAATAATATTTATTTATTTAAAATATTGGCTAAATATTAGGCCGGTTTGCAAGGCATTATAGAATTTTTTAAGTGATTGTTTTATGACTTGCGTACAAACTAGGGCCTTGCTTTACTTGTACTTGGTTTAAAGGGGTAGTCATCTCAGCTAATCCAAAATGTTACTGCCATTTTGCCAAATAATAAACATAACTTTCAAATTTAGATTCTAAAGAGCACTTTAAAAAAGACATTTTTCTTACCCTTTTCGTTTTTTAACATTTATCAAGTATTTACTTTGTAGAGGTTTATTTCCATGATTAATGTTCTTCCAATTGTGTGTATTCGGAATCTTTTATTCATTTCTACAAATGAACATGCTGATATGAGTGCTAAGTTTAGTGGATGTGCAATAGACTTGTAGTTTTACCATGAGTTGTTGATGCATCTTTGAAGTGAATAACTGTCTATTAGTATTCCTACTTAGTTTGTCATTGTGCTTTATCATGTCCAGTTTTCTTGTTTTGATTATACTTATTTAATAATGTTCTGCACATTAGTGAGCTCTTGCACTACACTATGCGTTAATTTGTGAGCATAATTGGGTGAAGATCAGCCATTGGGGTTTGGTAGAAAAATGATGATTTTTTAATTATTTTTTTATAGGGAATTGAATGCGAGTATCGCCATAGGGATATTGCTAGGCTCAACTCCAGAGAATGTTTGTATTGGTTAGCAAGGAATTGTCTTAATCTTGCAAGTTTGAGAGGTCAAGTACATGAAGTCACTCTACCTATGATACTCACTCTTCCACATACTCTGCTTGTGATAGACATTCTGCACAAATTTTATTTTGATGTATCCTTATCCAAAATGTGTTGCCTTTTTTAAACCTTTGTAATATGTATGCTGCATTAAGTTGCTCCACTAATATTTAAGTAAATATTAAGTTATTATATGATATTAATATTTTGAATATATGATTTATTTTTGTTTTGTGATTAATATTTTATATTTGAAATAAATTTTAAATATAAAATATGGCTGCTTATCATTTAGAGAGACAACATAAAATAACTGCGTTCGAATAAACAATTTGACCACTGTTCAACTTGATAGTTTGAATTGTATGCCGACAACTACACAAACCTGTAGTGTTAATCACTGCTACACATCTGAAACACAGTTGTTTGAAATGAAACAAAATAGTCTTCTATGTTCTAGATATACCTTAAAAACAACAGTAGTTTGATACAAATATTTCTAGTGGTCTTTCAAGTAGTTGTCTGATAACCAATTCGATTACTACTCAAACATATAGTTTGAATATTTGAAGGACCACTAAACAAAATCATAGTGTTAATAATCGTTATACAACAAAAACAAACAGTTGTTTAAAATAAGACCAAAGTAGTAGTGTTTTGTACATACAACACAAAATAACAGTTGTTTGATGAAAATATTTGTAGTGGTCTTCCGAGCACTACAAGAAAACGCAAAAAAAACGACGGATTATAGCGACGGAATGCAATTCGACGCTAACAACGACGGATTTAGCAACGGAATTTTACGCCTACCAAAATTAACGACGGAATCAGCATTTCGTCGCTCCGTATTGGCAGGAGGTAGTGTGCGGCATATTAGACGACGGAAATAACGACGGAATATTTCCGTCGTTAGTTTGGTGATGGAAAAATTCCGTCGGTAAAAGAATATAATTGAAACGATGCGTTTTGAGCTGGCGATGGAAAAATTCCGTCGCTAAATCCATCGCCAAAAACAGATCTAAAAACAGGAACTCCTCTCAGTTTCTCCGATTTCGCAGACAGAAACCACAAAGAGTTGTTGTCTAGTTTCGTCTCCTCCGCGACGCCTTCTGCCACCATCATCCGCCGGTCGCTGTCTGATCATCTTCTCCGTCCGCCACCATCAACTTCCGGTCGTCTACCCAGCTTCCATCACCGTCCACTTGAAATCTCAGGTTTTGTTTTTCATTTTTTCATCTTTTATTCAATTTCAATTTCTGAATTACTTTGTTTTTAATTATAATTGTATTGCTTACATTAGGGTTTTTAAGTTAACATATTTTGTTTATTATTAAAAATTTAATTTTAATTTTATAATTATTTTAGATTAGGGTTTGTTTTTCAAAATTTAGTCATTTGTTTTAAAAAAATTAATTATATTCTTGAAAGTTTTAGTGAATGAATATCGTGCTTATTAATCATTTATATATTGTAACTTTTATATGAGGAATGAATTTATGCTAATCAATTGTTTAATAGCATATTTTGGATATTATTAATGTTATATGAAGATGGTATATGCCTTATTTATGTTATTGAATATTGTGGTTGTTCCATTTATATTTTTAATTTTTTTTAATTCTATAACTTAATACTATGTTAATACTGATGGGATTAACCCGATTAGATGGCGGACCAAGAACGTAATATGAATCAAGAAGATATAACCACTCGATAATATTCTTTTATTGAGTAGTCAATTGTCTCTCTCTTTACAATGGCGGGTTCTCCCCCTTTTTATAGTATCTCTAATAATATAATTAAAATTATAAAAAATGGAAAGGATTATGGAGATCGTGGGGTCGTGATTCCCTCTTTTCTGATCTCGTTCTCTTTGCACTCTGTCTATGACCCAATGACGTGGCCCACGTGTCCCACTCCCTTCTTGGACAGGGTCACCTTTATTGATCCCATGACTGGGCCGTCTTTCTCTAGCTGCCATATGCGCACTAATGGGCTCGGCCCATTATCTTCATCTGTCCTTACACCTTTTGGGTTATTACAGGCCTTTATTTGAGCCTGGAGTCGGGTCTACCAGACCCGATATCCATCACAAGCCCCCTAGTTTTCTGGCAACGTGTCACTAGAAAACTAATGATGAGCCGCCTTCGGTCTTCGTGTCGGATTAGAAACGTCGCACTCGAGTACCTCGGGTCCATCCTTTCAACGGATAAAATCCCCTTTTGCACTCGTCTTCTTCTTCTTGCTACTGAATCTTAACTCGACCCGAATTCCGACTGCAATTTCCCAAATCCTTGTCCCTTTCTCCAAAATGGCTCCTACGAATCCTGAAACCTGGACCCATGGACCCTCCATTATCAAGGAGAACGAACTTCGAGAGGTGGCCGTGCTCCTAGGAAAGGGCTTCCGGATCCACCATCCCGATGCCGTTGGGGGGATCAGTTTATCCTACAATCCAAACCCCCAAAAATATATGGTCATGCAATACCACTCCGTGGAAAATGGGTTTAGGTTGCCCCTCCACGGTCTGCTTCGCGACCTCTGCCTCCATTTCGGATTTGCTCCGGGTCAATTGACTGCCAACGCGCACAAATATGTCGCGTCCTACATCCTGCGGTGCTGTGCCCTGGACAGAACCCCGAAATTGGATGAATTCCTTCTCCTCTTCAGTATCGGTGGTTTCCCCTTCTACAGCCTGTATCCCCACAACCATTTCCCAATTTTTGAGAAGGTTGAGTTCAAGTATGAAAAATGGTCATTGAGATACTTCGTTATTGAGTTCCCGGCTCACAGCCCCCTTGATCTACCGGGTGTTGTCCTCCGCCGTTCCATTTCCCGGACGAAATTTGCTGCTGCAGAATTAGCGGAGGGAGTGTTCAACGCCTTGAGAGAAAAAGAAGGTCTAATTTCACACCACTCCCTTCAAGACGCCCAACTGTACAAGAAGGCGGGTTTTTACCACCCCCTGGGTCCTGACCCGTTTCCATTTGAAGGTGTGCCTTCTCCTGAGAGATCGAAGGCTCCTTCTGCTGCAGAGTCCAACCCGGCTATGAGCTCTACCGGGAATGGGCGATTCCACTGCCTTGGCTATTTGCAAGCCGGTTGCTGCACTGGAGGCCGTTCCTATCTCTGCCATTCCTGGGCTCAGGAGGCCCATCCCATCCTAGAAACGACCTAGGGAAGGAGTTACTGATGATGATTTCCTTCCCAAGAAGCATAGGGGTGATGGAACTTCTGTTTCACCCAGCCCCCTGTCAACTTCTTCTGGTACTCCGAATACCACCTCTGCTGCTGCACTTGGAGGTTTAGAGCTACCCAATCCGGAGAGCCTGGATCATGAGGCAGATGAACTTCCAGACCAAGCACCACTTAAAAAACCAGCGGTGCAGCCTCAGCCTGATGCAAACAATTCCCTCCCTCAAACTGCATCTGCTCCCCAAGAACTGGAGGAAGAAGTTGAGGGGCAGAAAGAACCAGAGTCTTCTTCTGTAGCATAGAAGGAGATTGGAATTCAGAAAGTGCCGGACGCCCTCTCTACGACAGAGAAGGAAGCTGTAGAGCAAAAAGATGCCGAGGTTCCTCCAGAAATGAGGAGAGAGACTGAGACGCAGCAGAATCAGGAGGAGCAGCGGGAACCAGAGGAACGACATCCCGCCACCGCACCTTCGGCCGTCAGTCTCCCCATCCAGCGCAAGTTCACGCCGCAAACTTATCCTGTTTTTACAGAGAGTTGGGCAGGCTTCTCCCGTGGTTGGAGGTCCTTACAGGCTTCCCATTGGACTATCCAGGCTAACTTGGAGAAGATGAGGGAATCAGTGCAGGAGCCTGCGATTCCCCAGGCTCGCCCCGACTTGCTTGCACTCAATGCTCTGCACTTCATGGAACAAGTACTCTGTCTTTTTCTAAAATTTCTTTATCTCCTTTTAGGTTAGTTCTTTTCTTTGAATTCCCTTTCCTTCTTTTAGGCCCAGCAATCACTCCTCACTTTGACTGAGGAGTACCTGGGTGGAGCATCAGGGAACTACCGGGCTGTAGTGCTCCCGAAGGAGAAGGAGTTGCCTGCCAGGGCTTTACAACAGAAGGTTGACTCCCTGGAACAACAAGTCCAGGTCCTACAGGAAGAGAATGCCCGGCTCAAGGCAGATGGCTAATGGAGCTGACAGCTGAGAGGTCCAAGGTCAAGTCCTTACAGGAGCAGATCGCTGCTTACCAAAGGGGGACTCAGGATCTGGAAGCGCAATTTCACAGACTCCGGGCACAAATATCCATTTTGGAATCAAGGGCCTCAGCTTCAGAAGACAAAGTGGGAAATCTAGAAGCTGGATTGGTTGAAAAGGAGTCCCGGATCTCTGAGCTGGAGAATTCCCTCCAAGAGGCCAAGCATGAGAGTTCCCGTTTCAATGAATTCGCACTAAAACAGATGGAAGCGCGACGGCTTACCCTTGAGAAACTAAAGGAAGAGAGACAGACTGCAAGCGAGCTCCGGTTAAAGATGGATGAACTGGAGAAGACAACTGCTGCCCATCAAGAGGAGGTTGCCACTCTGGCTGCCCGCGCTGAAGCCCTTTATGAAGAAGGGAAATTTGACATGCAACAATGCATCTACGAGGCAGTTCAGAGAGGTCTTCCGGAAAACCGATCCTTAGACGACTTCATCTCTTACTATGGGTTACCTCTTCCTCTTTCTCCCCTAGCTTCTCGTGCAGATCCGGGGCTTTAACTTTATCCTTCTCTATCGCATGTTGTATTTTGCTTTGTAACATTTAGATGGTAGTTAATTGATAACACTTGATGTATTTTGTCCGCATAGACTCCTTCTATTGATCTGACTGTTTCCCTTTTGGAACTCTTGTTTCGCCCTAGGACTTAGCAGATTTTTTTTTATCCGCCTAGGCTCTGGGCTTAACTGCATTCGCAAAGTTCTGTTCTTCTTGTTTACCATTGCGCTAAGAGTTGGGAAAAATATCATAGATTTTGATGATGATGTATTTAGAATGTAATAGAACTTTAGGTCTCCCCCAATATTCAATGTAATTTTTCTTTTTAGAAATATTGTTAAAACCAAGTTCTTGAGATTTCCAATAAGGTTATGATATTTCTTTAAGCGTTTTGATGCCTGAAAACTTAACCAAATTCAGTGATATGGAAATTGGATATCTTAATCGAAAATGCTAGAGACAAGTAAGGATTTCTCAAGCAGATGAAAATCGTTTGATCCGGAAGACTACATAAGAACCGGATGTCTCGCTACAACCCGCTGAAGGCTAAGTCACCCAAATCGGAAGACTAGCGCGGATCTCTTTCTCACCCGGAAGTCTGAGAATGACTCCTCCGGATTTGTCAGCTAAGAACCGGATGCCTCAAGGAAGACCGGAATTCTCAAAAAGCGGACAAGTGAGAAAAGACTTAGAAAATTATCTAAGTCTTGAATGAAGAAATTCTACCCGTTGGTAAGGAAATATCAATCTCTTGATTTTCAACGGCTAGATTGAAGATAATTATTCTGATTCAAGAACATATGACTCGAAGACAAAGTCTGAACCTCTAAGAATTGAAGAACCTGTCCAGAATTCCTAAACAAGCACTATAAGACAAACAGAGTAAAGTTCTACAGTCCAGAATACTTGAACAGCAGCTAGAAGACGGACTCTATAAACAAAAAAAAAGGAATCCCTCCTTTAACAAATGGGTATGTCCAAACACCCATTCCAATGAGGAATCTTCAAATCACAATCTTCATTCAAAATTAAAGCCAGCAAATGCAACGGATAGTCTATTATGATTCAACGAATAGATTATCCAATCCAGCTATAAATAGCATCCTTGGAAGACTGGAGAAAAAAAATGAGATACAACAACACTACGAAGCAATCTCTAACAACAAAGCTATCTCATTCACAGTTAGCACAAAAAGCTTGATAAAGAGAGATTTCTAAACTCCTTATCCAGAAGCTAACTTTTCCTCCTTCCAAAGAGCTATAGTGTAAACATTTGAAGGTTTCCTTGCCTCAAGCCCCACACCACGTTGAAGGTTATTACTTTTGATCAAACTTATTGATTAAAAGGGGGTAGGTCAACTTTTTTACAAGTTGATCTTGCAAGTCCTATTGTTCGGAACTTGCAGTTGTTGAAGAAGCTTGACCTTCGAAGGAACAAAGCCAGCACGAGTGCAGTAGCGTTATTGGTCTTGTGAAGATATACCGTGCAGAAATTGACACAAGTGTAATTGTTGGTTCATTATTCAACAACCAACTACATAGTGGATTTTGAGGACGTAGAAGGATTACCCCACCTTCGAACCTCGTTAAAGTTTGCGTGTCTCTCTCTTTTATCTTTATTCTTACTTGCAATTATATTAACCGTGAAAACTAACCCATCCATATTAATTACTGCTCACTCTACCCACCAAATTCCGCACACAATCTAAAGTTCACAAGGACTCTAGATTAACACTCATTTGCACGTTTTCAAAAGAAACGAAAAAGATTTTAAATCTGTAACAAAGTCTATTCTCCCCCCCCCTCTAGACTTTGTATTTCACCACTTTGGGACCACCAATTAGTATCAGAGCAAACTTCTCACTATCTACGTTTAGATTAACGAGAAGCGATCATAATGGTGAACAATATGGATCACGGTTTGCCCAAGTTTTCTCTCTTAGGTTATGATGATTGGAAGATCATGATGGAAGCACATCTCTACGCTCTACATGACTGCATGTGGATGGTGCTTGAGGATGGACCCTTGAAAATCCAAATGGAGAATCCTGAGAGGAATCCAGCAACTCCTGATGTAATCTAGTACATTCCAAAGCCCAAGGAAAAATGGGATGATAGAGATTGTAAAAAGCACAATCTGGACAACGTCGCCAAAGCAGCCATCTTCAAGATACTTGATCCCATCACCTTCTCCAAAATCAAGCATCTCAAGACTGCCATGGA